GCCCTGCAGGTTTCCTGCACTGACAGGGAAGGGACCTGCATACTTCCCTGAGTGTATCTCCATCCCAGGCGGACCCCAGGGCTGCTAAACCACACGATACCTGGCCGGTACTGTTCTGTGTTCCTTCATGGGCTTAAAAATATACGTAAGGATTCCATCTGCCATACCTGTTTAGAGATCGTGGCACAAAGGAGATGAGATGTGGAAAGAGCTTTATTTATTTAGTATTGGGAGGGAGGGAGGGAGGGAGAGGTGCCACTGGGGCTTGACCTTAGGGCCTGGCGCTCTCCCTTAGCTTTTTCACTCAAGGTTAGCACTCTATCACTCGAGTTACAGTTGCACTTCCAGTGTTTTGGTGGTTGACTAGAGATAAGAATCTCACAGACTTTCTTGCTGGGACTGGCCTCAAACTGTGATCCTCAGAACTCAGCCTCCTGAGTCTCTAGGGTGACAGGCATGAACCCCTGATGTCAGGATTTTGAAAAGGCTCTACAGGGCTGATCACACCTGCTTCTACCCTTTCCTGCTGCAGTGTACCTCGGAAGCTTCTGGGATGAGAGCCTGGCAAGGAAGTGTAAGTGGCTCTCACTGGATCGGAAGAATTCTAGAAACTAGGAGAAAATTCTCCTGGTCAGTTCCTTCAGGCCAAAGGAAGATGTAGTAAAGAAAATAGTCTAGATGTCTGTTTCATGGAGGAGACCTCCACAGGGTCTGCACATGGAACAAAACACACACACACAAACTACAATTATAGCGAGAGACAGGAGGAGAGAGAGGAGAGCTTGTCTGCTGAGCCATCCTGAGCATGCAGAAGTAGCATTCTGAAAACTGCGAGCACCTGTTTCAGGATGGGCACTCACATGTCCACGACTCATCGCGTGCACCCTCTCGACCTCCGCACAGGAAGTCCCAGGGCTCTCCAGGCCCTGCTGCCCTGCCATGGGCAGATGTTTCTTAGCGGACGCTCCAGGCTCCTTGTACTATGTCACTGGCGCCCCCCTCCCCACGGCACACCCCTTTCCTCCAGACTCCTTTGGCCCACTCCTGTCCTCCGTGGGTCCTCCCTAACACCATCTTCCTTCCAACTTCCTGCCACTTGTGAGCCAGAGGAGATCCTGTCATGGCATCACTCCACAGCTCAGGTCTTAGGAGGAAGCCGTGGGTGTTCCTTGGACATTGTCACAGCCCGGCAACCTCAGGGAAAGGGCTGAAGGTGGTTAAGAATCTTTCTGTTTCTCTGCCGTTTTTGATGTTTGCATTTTCTTTGCCTTGCTCATATCTTGCAGAATATTTTTGATTTTGCTTGTGGTGGAATTGACTTGAACAGATGTTTTAGGGTTGCAGATGTGCAGGATTTTATGGGTTAAAATAAGTACAGTCGACCAGCCTGAGCCAACCTGAGCTTGTGGTTATACTTGCAATCAAGTCGTTATCCTTGTCAAATGCCAAATACTGGCTGGCATATCAACTGTTAGGTTACAAACTCTTCATCAAGGGTCACAAACCATATTGATGGAAATAGCAGGTTTTGAAATCTCAATGTGGAGACCACATGGATATAGGATGTAAGAGGTCATAAAGTCCACTGCAAGCCAACCATCTTGGTCAGTGGATTTCGGTGGTTAATGCAGTATGTCAGGAGATGCTGTTTGGTAAGCAGAGACTCCTTGACCTCAGAAAACAAACACTGTAGATGGACTCCATATTATCCACACAAAGCAAACATTTAATACATGGTGTGCACGGTGTACCCAAGACGATGCATCGCAAACAAGTACACTTGTAGTGTATTGAACTTTCCTTCCATAGTAAGGAAATACATGAGATAATCAAACCTAGGACCCGCAGCTGTTCCTTAGCAGTCTTGCATAGGGGAGTAGCCGCATGCACTTTCCTTTTCACACGGAACACACTCTCCATTCATGAGTCAGGATGTAACGTGGGCAGCGCCGCGGAGAACAGGCCTGGGCTGCCTTGGCTGTAAGGACCAGGCTCTGAGTTTTGTTTGGAGGTGTTTGTTTTACTGTGTTTTGTCTTTTTAAGACACAAAGGAGATTTGACAGCCACACATGGTTTAAAAAAATTTGCACCTATGCATACACACATATAGACATGTGCACACACGTGCACGCACACACGTGTGTTTGGCAGGAGTGGGGAGGGACGGGAGGGCTGCAGCCCACACTCTCCTCCCTGGCTGCCCTCCTGTGCTTGAGGGAATCCCAGCAAGTTCCCTCTGCATGCACAGAAGGACCAGCGGCTGCAGCCTCAGACCTAGTCAGGATGCATGATTACCACTTAAAGGAAAAAAAAAAGATTGCAGCTCCACTTACAGCTGCTAATCTGTACTTGTGTTGTTCAAAGAAAAATAAAACATGTCAGAGGAAATGTTTACATCGGTGTAGCAGGCATCGGTTTTATTTTTAATCGTTCACTTTTAAAGTGGGTGTGCAGTTTATGGCTGTTTATGAAATTTGAGGCATTCATCAGCGTGAAGTAGTTGTTTATTTCCTTTCCATATTTCCTCTCATCAGGAGAAAAAAAAAAACACCTTTGGTCTCATAACAAAATGCCACTCGTTTGTTCCTGCGAGCGGTGGGTTTCGGAGCTGTGGGAGAGGGCTGTCCTGAGGGGCCGCACACCGTGTCCCCGTCCAGCCCCCCAGAGAGCCACCTGCCCGCCCCGCACTCTCCACACCCCCCGCCTTGCAGCTGCAGGCCGGCGCGAATCTCTGGTCGCGTGCACTCAGCCTGAGTCTCTGGTGATGCACACGGCTCTCCTAGCAAGCCCCAGGCCTGTGCTCCCCACCCAGCCATTCCCCCACCTCAGAACTAACCATAAACACGGGCTTGTTTTCCTTCCCAACAACTTCTTCATACTCAAGGTGGGGTTTGCAATATGTCTCTAATTTTTTTCATGTTCGTCAGGAAACATGATACAACAGCCCCAAAGAAAACATGTGAAACAATGAAATACAGAATCCTGCCTTTTCTCCCTGTGATGATCTATAAATAGACACGCACTGGCCATGTTGATTCTGATTATCACACTTACCTATCATTGCACTATGGACATGATTTTCTTCCTTGGAACAAAAGCCGTGTTTATTATTGCAGGTGCCAAACACAGAGGAGACAAACAACAGAGAGGTCACCTTTAGCTACCCAGAGAGGGTCATGTTTGCTTTTTGCTTTCTATGGGGGCCAGGAGCCTGTAAACCCAGCCGGGATGCAGGCCGATCGCCTTCCCCAGGTGTGCAGTACCTGGCAGGACAGGTGCTGAAAGGGGCAGGGCAGCGCCAGGAACAGCACAGCCAGCCGAAGCGCTCCAGGTGGGGCTTGTCAAATTCCATTGTGCTGCTGTTCACATATTCACAGCCTCACTCTGGGAAGGAAGATTGTCCTCACCTAGGATAGAATTCCTCTCCCATCTCTAAGGAAGGCCTCAGGACCTGGAGAAGGGCCCGCGCGGGTGGGCAGCTAAGAGGGAACCGGAGCTTTCCTAAGGGAACCGCAGGTATCAGTGTGGGCTGAGCCACACAAACACGGCTCAGCAGCCCTGCCTGTCGACAGGTCCAGATGTTTACCAGCTCAAAAGTGTGCTTTCCTCTCTTTCTGGGCTCTGCCCCCGTGACCCACGCCACAGTAGGTGGGGAGAGGTCACTAACCTGAGCGTGAGATTCTCGGAGCGGTAGACAAACAAGCAGGTGTCTGGGGTGGGGTGCAGGTTACCTCTCAGATATTGGGACCTGTGCAGTTGAGATTTTAAGGTTTGGCCTGAGCTGTTGGCATGTCTGTGGATTTTAGAGCAGTCAACAGGAGCATGTCAGAGCAGCCTTAGAAAAGGAGATGGGAGAATTCCCCTCGGAGCTGAGAGAGACAACGGGAGGGGTTTTAAGTTAACACCGTCCCTGCCAGGTCTTCCGGTGGGTAGTTGTTTTCTGAGCTTGTATTTGAACTACCTCCAGCCACAATGAGTGAGCCCGTCATTCATTTAAATTCACGGCTCAAGTAATAACTCAGTCGCTTCCTCTCTGAACATAAGGGAGATGCTGAGAATCGCCGAGTAGGATTCCAGATATTGTGAGATTGAGCTGACACTGAAGAGAAAGATGGAGAAAGTAACCAGGCCTTTCTTGAAAAGAGGAAGTGTTGAAAAGGCGTTGTACTGCTGTCACGCACCACGGTGCTGGCTTGTCGTCCGTGCACAGTGTTTAAGGGTTCATCTAGTGTTTACGTGTTTTTTACAACTCCCCGCAGAGTACATATGGTTCATATAAAGAAGATCCCAGGGTTGTTTGGGTTGGTTTTCCATGAAAACAATCATTTGGGAAAGAACAACAGCACTATGGTTGGGGTGCTGCTGGCTCTCTGTGAGCTGGGGGGGGGCGGACGGCTCGTGGAATGCAGCCCCACGTGGGCGCGGGCAGAGCCACTGCGGGGACCCAGGGGGTCAGGTGCAAAACGACACCCCCACCCCCCTCCCAGAAGGCAGAGCCTTGGCAGTGGAGCGCCGAGGTTCTGAGAAACATAAGGTCCCTTTATTTAATTTCCTCTCATTTACCCGAGTGAGGCTCTATTTTTGTAAAGAAATTCAGGAAATTGGTAACGCACTTGACTTCATCCGTGAAGTGTCCATGATTAACGTGATGGTCACATTTTTCCTGGCTTGAAGCTTGCGCTCCCCCCCCCCCCCGAGAATGTGGGTATCTCCAGCTCCCACTACTCAAGCAAAACAGCCTCAGATTCGCAGAGAAGCCGGCTTCCTCTGCTTTACTAGAACTGGCTCTCAGGGGCGGAGATTTTCCACCCTGATTTTGGTGTTTCTCCCCAAATACTCCTCCTTGTCACTCTGTACTCGGTGACTGCCGCCCCCCCTCCCAGGTGCCCTGAAAGAACTGTCCCTCGAGCCCAGGCTGCCCCCTGCAGCCCTGCCCCTGCTCACCGGGCCATCTCAATCGCATGGCCCATTGGCGGGGGCGGGGAGCCGGTCCTACCTACCTTCATCAGCCACTGTGTGTTGTTCTCCATGATGGTCTCCAGCACCTGCAGCCGCTGCACGGAGTCGTCGTAGTCGGGGGGCGCGTCCCTCTGCACCGCATTGGACACGTAGGGGCTGGAGGCCACGCGGCAGCTGTCCGTCTCGGGCAGCAGGAATGTATAGCTGCACGGCCCGTGCTGGACCTGGTACTGCTTTTTCCCCGTGCTATCCACACTCTTCCGAAAGTTGTTGTAGGCTGCGGCCAAGACAAGATCACAGCCCAAAGTAAAGAAAACAAACTGCCACATTCTCTCTGTCTCTCTCTCTCTCTGGTCATAAACCACGGGTTCAGCAAAGTCCCAGTCGGGCTGGCCCCTGGGCTGCCTGGAGTCTAGAGCGCAGGGCCGGGCTGCATGGCTGAGCCCATCAATGAAAGCCTTCTCTTTCTCCCCCTGCAGTGACAGGCTGGCTCCTGAAGGAGCTGTCAGCCGCGGCGGGAAGGGCGTCCTGCTGGCCGGGGCGCTGCCACTCGCTCCGCTCCGCAGGACGCTTTCAGGACCGGACTCTGTCAGAATCCCAGGCACTCGCTTCCCTGTCCTTATATGATAAGTTGATTAAGAGCAGCCAGACGTGTGGGGCGAGCGGCTCCGCCCTCCTGGCTTCTCCGTTATCTCCCCGCAGGGGGGGTCACTAGCCAGGCAACAGGAAAAACTCAGAGCAGAACGCCTGCTGTCCAACCAGGATCCTGCACCACACAAGCCCTCTGGGAACCGGATGGTCACAGGACCCCTGGGCATGGGGCAGGCCCCTCCCTGTGAAGTACTTCCGAGAGATGGCCAGGCCCTTCTAAAAACTCATTCTGCCGGGCAGAGCTGGCAGCCGGGCTGACACGAAAACTCTTAACAAAGTTCCTAGTTTTCCCTTTAGGGAAATAGGTTAGGACTTGGGCTTATTTGGGGTCTTAAAAATGAAGAGGATGCAGTTTGGCTCTTGGAAATGGTGCCTTCTCAAAAGGAGAAACACTTTCATCCCTGTTTCTTCAGTTTTTATCAGCCAAGTCATGCAACATGTTCATTTTAAACAAGTTTGATGTTAAGTCAATTTACGAAGATCAGTTTCTGAGCCCCGACACTTATTAGTTAAGACAAAATATCCCCTTAAATATTTAAAATACTGAATTAAGTTACAAAAGTGGATCCAAATTTAAATAAAAGTACTTTTGAGAGCGTAACATACAACTTTTTCTTTCGTCCTATCAGGATTTACTCAGAACTCATTGTAACATTTTCTCAATTAAATTAGTCCTGAGGTCTGCTTGGGCACATCACGTGTGTCTCATAAGGCCCTGCTGTCCTCAGCCAGGGGCAGCCCTGCCTTCCCAGGACCCTCTGCTCCCGTCCGTGTGTCCCTGGGCCTCTCCTTGCTCCTTCAGTAACGAAGGCTGGGTACTTCAGCAATTGCCAGCGTGTGACTCCCCAGCCGCGCTGGGGTCTGTTTATATCTCAGTGCTCAGGACTCATCACCCGAGGGACAGGTGAGGGTCCGCTCAGAGGACCAAAGCGTGAGTGTTGCACTTTCTAGGTGAATCTGGAGCCGCACAGTGGATTTTATTTCCCTGAGATCTGTCTTTAGGGACTGTAAGTTTTAGAAGAAAATCCCTCACCTGAAGCTCCTGGACAAAGCTGAGGTGGGAAGGTACATATACATTCTTTCACAACCTCTAACCGAGACAGAGCCCTGGCCTTTTCCATGTCCCATTAACAAGTATGTAACTTTCTCACCAGTAGATAAAATAAGTGTTATATTGTAAATATATATTATTGTTGCAATAGTTAAAGGGTCTGTGATACTTTTGTCACTAGCTCTGATTTGTCACTCAGCACTGCATTGTCATATGCCATCCCTCGGTGTTCGTACTGAGTGTTTAAATAATTAGTTATACCTGATGCCTTCTGAGAAGGGCTGGTAGATTCTCCAGACTGCCAACAGCTTCTGTGTCTCCAAAAAGCCAGAGGGGCCGTGAGTTCAAACAAGGTGGGGGACCTGGTCCACCAAGACGCAGGTGCAGGTTTGCAGCAGGGGGAGCCAAATGAAGCTCCCACTTGGCCAGCACACCACAAAGAGAGCAGCCAGTGTCAAGGTGAGCCTCCTGTGGTCTGGCCTCGCAGCCTCCAGTAATGGAGACCAGGCTTCCCTGTGGTGTTTTTCAGATACAGGTAATGTGTCATCCTAAGTAACGTTTAGGAAGACACGTTCCCTTTCTTTATCAGCACTGTCATTAAGTGGAAATCAGTCCTTCAGCCATCAAATCATGTCACGGTTTTTCTCCGTTGAACGTAAAGAGCAGGGCTGTGAAATTCTTCTCAGTTCCCTCTTTGCTCAGAAGCTCCCAGCTTGAAGGAGCCATGGTGAGGGGTGGGAGAGGGGAGCAGAGGCCCAAACCCACGCCCCACCCAGCATGTGAGGCCTTGCTGCACGGAGGAAGCCTCTGTAGGGTTTTTTATCCCTAGCCGTTTAAGAATGTCAACGGCCGCCGAGCTCACAGGCCAAAGCCTGGCTCACAGGCCAAAGCCTGCTGAGGGCTGCAGAGCCTGGGGGCCTGTGCGTGGGACCTGGACTCGCCGGCTCCCCCTGCCCGGGGAGCATGCGCCTGCCACCCCTGCCCACGGCCACCCAGGACCCCCGGCGTGGCCCTGGTGGGAGACAAGGTCGGCGTGGGCCTCCCCAAACTCCCCGCCTTCCGTACACTGGTGGTCTCTGCAGTCACCGCTGACAGGACAGTGCGAGGCAGATGAGGATATAAAAGGAGAAATCTTATCCCAGGCCTCCCCAAAGCCTCCTGCCCGCCCGCCCGCCGGCCCCGCCGCTCTCCCAGCAGCTCTGCAGAGCAGCTGTGCGCGGTCCTATTTGTTTTTCTAAAATAATGTTTGCTTTCCCCCATACTACATGTCATCGGCTGAGACTTCAGAGGCCCCCTCCCCCTCCGTAGACCATCTCAGATTCTCATAAGCTATTTATGGCACCGGAAAGACCCCAGCTCCCCGAAAGAGAGGAGCAGTGCAAAGATCCTTCCTGTGCCCTGCCGCGCCCCTATGCCTGCCTTCACCCTCTCCCGCCAGGCCCAGCACATGGTAAAGGCCAACGGCTCGGCCCGGGCGGTGGCATCCGGGGCCCCGGAGCGCAGGGAGCCGGTGACACAGATCTGCCACTGTGTGGACCATGGGTCAGGGCGGTCACAGCCCTCGGGGCCCAGGTCACGCCGCGCAAGACTCGTTCTATTGCATGGGTGGTGTGGGAAACCAGAAACCAGAAAAATGATGCCAGCTTCCAATTGGCACAAAGTAGGGCAGCCACCAAGCCACAGGCATCAAAACAGAGCCGGTGAGCGGGCTCACGTGCCCCCTGCCGCTGTGCTGTCTCGCAGCCCTGACTCCCGGGACGGCTCCGTCCCTGGACGGAAGTGGGGCCTTCAACCGACCCGGGGAGCGAGGCCTGCGCCCCTCTCCCGCCCTCCCCACCCCCGTGGAGCCCAGCTCTCCTCCTGACATCCCAGGCTCAGTGGGCGGTGGCTGCACAGCCGTGTTTGGCTGGCATGGCCTTGATTTCTGGAAAGTGTCATGTTGGGAGATGAGGAACACTGAGTGCTGAATTACTCCAGAAAAGTGGAGCCGGGACACTGTGTTTTCTTGGGACACTGGGGCGCCTGGCACCCCGGAGCGGGACACTGACAGCCTTCTTGGCCTTCTCCCCTCCCTCTCCTCAGCGTCTTTAAAATTACCAAAATAAAGTGAGACAACATGTTTATATACAGTATAGTATTCCATGCTCAGAGCAAACCGTTGGAAAATTCCCGGACATAAAACTGTTGTCAAGAGAAAAGGCTATTTTTACACACACACACACACACACGCATACACACGTGCACACACACACACCACACACACACACACACCACACACACACCACACACACACACAC